GTCACAATTTAATCATACTCTTTCATTAATTAAAAGAAAAAAAAAATGAATACTTTGCCGTCAACTTACTAAAAGAAGCAAGTTGGAACAATATTTTCGATTACCCTTAGCTAGCAACATTGGATTCCTTAGGTCGATATCCATGAAATATGGTTTCATGTTCTTGTTATTATGTTCAAGTTTATGGTCCCCTTTCAAAGGTTACGAATTTGAACTACGAATATAAAAGACATTGTCATGTGTTGTGAACGTGAAATTCTGTTTTGTTTAATTAGTTAACTATGCCATAAAAACAGGCCTTGATTTGCTATTACCTATCTTTCTCATGGGTGTTTAGAATATTGAAAGCAATTAATGTTCGACATTTTTTTTAATAGAATATTTAATTATCTATTAAATATAATGTTCAATTGAGTGATTAACGAAATGAGTCTTTATGACTTATTTCATCTCACTAATTCGGCCCGGTTCTAGATTCATTTCCACAAGCTTTATTTTTTAAAATAAAATCCAATATATTTTAAAGATAAGTTCAAGCTAGCTACATTTTGTGTTGTCTCAACATGAATAGTCTTTTTTATTTTCAAAATTATATATTTTTTAAACAATTATGCATTACTCTTACGACTTCAATATTTAATAGATATTTTTTATATATCACGATATTATATTTATATTGATGTTATTTATTTTGAAATATATATTATTTTTAGTTTTATTTTTTGTTAATTATATTATTTAATTATGCATAATACTAAAATGATATATTCTATTCGCAAATTAAGTTGATTTAGTCTCAACATAATATTATTAGTCTTACTTGAATCAAACTTGAATCTAAAAGTAATAATTTTATTAACTTTTTGGGTCAAATGGATATAACTCATCCTAGTTCATACATACCCAATTCTTGCATTGAACATGTATGCAAAAGCTTATTACTTTGAACATGTCAATGAAAGCCTATAAGAAGGATTGAGTCCAATACTTTCATTTCTGTCAATTTTATTTTATTGTTTCATTATTTACATATTAAATTACTAAACCGTATTTTATATTATATGTAATTAATTTTAATTTTAATTTTTACTTTTATCTTTTTTATGTATACATTTCTCACTTTAGGGTTTAGGGTTGTTTATTAGTGTTCTGTAAGGACTAAGAAAAACCTTTTTATTCAAGTTTGAGAAACGCTTGTTGATTTTAACACTACCCTTTCAAGAAATTAAATCTTAAATGTAGCTTTCCAAATTAAAATTTCAAAAATGATTAATAAATTCTGAAGTTTTTTCTAAGAAAAGAGGGGTGGCATGACTTAAAAAAAAGATGATACAAAAAGAAAAATCCTTGAGAAAATATATAGAAAAATAATAATGGGATTCTTGGTCATTGCCTATGTTTTTATTGGTCTGATGGTCATTGCTTAGTGAGCTTAAACAATATCCCAATGGATCATGGCCTGTATAAATGGGCCAGCCAAAAGCCCATGTTCATTGGGCAGAGTTATTGGAAAGTGATTGATTCATATATCAATTACATGCAAACAGAGGCATATAAATTCATTCAAATAATAGAAATAGTTGGTGTTGCTTATAGTTAATAAATTATCTTCAATGTGGTCAACTACGTTAAGCCATGTTTATAATAGTATGAACTTCCCAAGACAGGAAAATTGAGAATATTAATCTGAATTAGTGAATATTATTTAAGAATTATTTGTTTCTTTCTTAGAATATTGGACAACATTTTAGAAAATAATATATTAGCAAAAATTAAATAATTTATAATAAAATTTTACAGCTTTTCTAACGTGTCTTTTAGAACACCTAATAATAACAACTCATGTATAATATTATATTTTTAATAAAAAATTACTATTCAATAATAACTTTTTTTGGGAAATGAGTTTTTCACTTTTTTCTTGAGTTACATTTAATTTACATTTAATTTACATTTATATGTAAATAATTTTGGTTTGGAAAGCCATGATGAGACAACATGCAACGAAAAAGAAAGAGAAATTAGAGAAAAGTGAGGTTAGTATTTTAAGTGAAAAAAAAGAAAAAAAGTACGTAAAAAAATAGCACTAAAAACATTCTGAGTATTTTGTGAATACGATTTAATTGTTAGAATATGCTTCTTATCTTTTTATTGTTAAAATCTGCAAATGCTTTTAATGATTTGTTCTTCCTTTGTATCATTAATCCAACAACGTAGTGCATGGCACACCCAATATCATACCTAATTCAAGGAGTCATAGATTAATTAAAACCACTAATACTTACAAAACAAAAGGATGATAAATCTCTGGAGTAAACATAATATAATAGATAAATTAAATAACAGTAAGTATGCATTCTTAAAATTGAAAAGATTAATGGTTTTAACAACTCCACACAAAACAAAAAATATAAAAGACAAATTCTAAAAATCTACTTAGAACTACTTATAAAAAGAAATGATTGTAACACACTCTAATATATATTTTTTAATACATTATCTAATATACAGTTTTTAATATATTTTTTAACACACTCATTTTTATTAATTAAAGTTTATTAAAAACTACAAAAATCATATCAGTTTCACTCTTTTTTACTCTTAATTTAATATTTCTCATTTATGTTTTTATAATTTTTAACAAATTTTAGTTAATAACTAATGCTTTATTTGGATGAGGGATGAAATAGAGAAAAAAAAAGGAGAAAAAGAAATAAGAGTGTGAGAAATAAAGTGAAAATAAAATGAAAAATATTAGATATTTAGATGAGTTGAAATAAAATAGAAAGAAATAATAAAAAATTTCTTCTACTTATTTGAATGAGTAAAAAAGAATGTGAAAAAAATTGAGTTGTATTAAAAATATTTATAAAAATTTAAAATAAAAAATAATTTTTATTATAATATTTTTCTGGATAGTTTTTTTTTTTTTTATAATTTTTAATATTTTAAAAAATAAAAAAAATTCCCTCTTGCCCAATCGATTCCTCTCTCTTTCTCCCTCTCCCTTCTCATATATTGTTCACTTCTTCAGATTTCTTTTTGGTGGGACCACAAAAAAAACCTCCCTCCCTCCCTCCCCTCCCCTCCCCTCCTTTCAGGCAACCAAACAAGAAAAGTTTTAAACATTTTTTCTATTTGCTTCTCTTCTCTCCTAATTCCTGTCATCCAAACAGAGTGTAAGAGCTCCTGGTGACAAAGTTGCTGCTGACCTAAGGGTTGTTTGGTTTTAAAAATAAATATTTTTATTTTTAATTACAAAATTACTATTTTTTTTTTATTCTGTTTCTTAGAGACCACCTGGCATGGGCTCATAATACCAAAGATTTGCTTGGCCCAAGCCTATATAGGTCACCACCATATTAGTAAGGGAGAGAGAAAGAGAAGAAAATAAAGTCCTAAAAGCACCACTATAAATTTTCAACATACTTAAGTAAGCACCACACACAGTACAAGTCTGCTAAAGATGGTTTGAGTGTCTTACTCACCAGACATCTACTTCCATGGACCTTGAAAGATGGTTTCATTGGTGCTTTGGGTTTAGGGTTTTGTTGTATTTGCAGAAAAATCCTTGCTACTTTGTTTTATTTTATTTTATTTTTCTCCACTCAAAAGGACTTAGGCTGGCATGAAGGTGTTGGTTGTAATATATCTTTTTTGATATAAAAGACTTATAATTAATTTAACTCATTTTACTTGTATTAATACAAATTGTGAATTAATATTAAGCCACATAATACTTAAAATTATTAAATCAAACCTGTACTATGCTATTATTATATGTTCTTCTCAGCGGATATGAAACACATTCATAAGTTTTTATTATTTATTTCAACTTCTTTAAAATTAGCCTGCTTTCAACATATTCTTTCTCCTTTTTCCTTGTATTTACTTTTTTAAAAATTTGAGTATTTTGTGATTCATCTTATATTATGAAGAGCAATACACATACTATTCTTCAGTTAGAGTTATACATTATCTTGAATATCATGTTATTTATTAATGAAACTTAGCAAATTTACGAGTTTTTCTATAATTTTAAGTGAGTGCTTGAAATGAATAGAATGTATCATGAGAGAAAATTCTTTTTATGTTAGAGTGAAAAGAACGCGTCTTAACCATTAGATCTCATAATAGATAGTTAAAATGATAAGATCTAAAAGTAAGATAATAGAATTTTCTCTCTTAACTATCCATAATAAAATCTAATGGTTTGGATATATTTCTTTCAGTCTTATATAGAAAAAACTTTCTTTCCTAATACATCCGTCAATTCATAGCACTTATATTTTTAACCTTTAAAAAACATCAAATTAAGATTTAAGCAAAAGCTTATTTTTTTAAGTACACATCTTATGATAGAAAAAGAGAATAGAAAAGGATACTCTTTATATTGTATTGATGTTGATTATTAATTACAAGTTTTATTTTGATATTACATGATTATATTATAAGTAAATTTTTGTTAAAATTAAATTTTAATTTTAATTACTAAATAATATTAATATTTACAAAATAACATATTTTTTAATTAAAAATACAAACTTTACAATTTTTGTCCAATTAAAAATACGAAGTAGAGCCTTCTAGTTTTGCCGGCTTTTTATCCCATTCCCACTTCTTTGGTGCCTCTACTGAGATATGTAAGGGAGACTTTCCATTTTTCCCAGTGTGTCTGTACATGTTTAGACTATTGAACTTATTTTAAAATTACAATCACCAATTTTCATTAATTTGGAAATAAAGATAAAAAAATATTTCTAAAAAGTTATTCTTTTTAATCATGTACTTATTCTAAGGTCTTTCATCTCAAAAAGTTAGAGCCAGAAAAGAAAAGAGGCACTTCTTAACCTCTTTTTCTTTCCATGCAATGCTTCCACTAGTGTGAATTATTTGTAACATGTAAAATTATATGCAGAATTCAGATGTTACCAATACCAGAAGAACAATTAAAAGATTTTACATGTCAAAGATTTCAACACATTATTTTACACAGGGCTCAGAAGTGGTGCATTGAGGTAGTGGCATTAGTCTTACTCTTAGACTTAAAGGAGCAGATAAAAAAGTGTCCTTGAACTAGGGAGAGAGCTTTGTTGATATTAGCCATTTTTTTTCCCATTCTAATAAAAAATAAAATGGGCTCCCTAATTTGTATCTTATGGCACCTTCTGTGTGCTTGGTATACTATCTCACTCAGCACAAAGCTATCAAAGAGCTTTTAGCTGTTGTATATTGAGAAGAGTTCCAAGATATGTATATATGTAAACTACCCTTAATTACGAAAGGGTTAGGCTTGAAAGCAGCAACTCTTTTAGTTGCCACTGCAAAAATTAGTAGTTTCTGCCTTCTCCACATGAATTGTGATCCTTTCCTCTCTTGGAGGCTGACATGGGCATGCCATGGCTATGAATTTTGGGATGTCATCCCCTGGCATCAGCACAGGCAAGCTCTCAGCATAATTCTTCTTCATCATCTGTTTACGACAAAATCCAATCTCATTAATCTTCTCTCAATACATATTACATATGCACACACATGAGATGTATTATAATCATACATTTTTACATGAGGGATCAGCTATATTTTATTTAAATCTAATCTTGATTGTTTAATTTAATTGTATGGTTAAGATTTAATACATAACTACTTAAATTTTAAAGTTCTTTTAGGAAACTGATAAAAACAAGTGATTAAATTTTTAAATAATAGCATGTATGTATGGCTTTTGAGAGTAAGTAAAAGAAATGATTACTTACCACAACAGGAAAAACTGGTTTCTGGGGAGAGGAAGTGATGTCTGCTTGTATCTGAGCTTGTCCCAAAGATTGAGGGATAATAGCCTCAGAATATCGAAACAAAGATTGGAGTTTGTTCCAATGTAAGCAACAACAAAAGAAGCCACAAATGAACAATAAACAAACAAAGAGAAGGGCTAAACCCAAAGGAAATCCAATTGATACACGGCTTGCTGCTGTGTCTTGAAGCTCCATTTCTCTACTCTACTAGTGTTTGAATCTCTTCTCATATCACTTGAATGAGTGAAATTAAGGGATATTTAAATTAGAATTAATGTGGCACCTTTACTTTAGTTTAGGTGGTTGATGGTGGGGTGTACTTTCTAGTGGGTGGACTCACACTTTGGAGTGTGACAATTTTATTATTGAGGTTGACATGAGTAATATATATATATATATAGTATTGAGTGAGTGAGGGCACTTTTCATTTCGTACGGTTCTATACTTCTGCTTATGAAAAGAGCAATGAAATTTATGTTGAAGGAACGATTACAATCTTGATTATAAATGTTCTTGATTTTACAAAATTGATTTGTTAAAGAAAAGTAGTTAATCCCTTTTTTGTGAAAGGTTCTTTTTTTTTTTTTAAATTTCAACTCGAACTTTTGTTCTAGTCCTTTTCTAGACTACCCATACAAGTCACACTTATATATATCAAGATTCCAATTCAACTTCTAAAAGGGTTAGGGATCTTATTACAAAGAATTTCACAATCCTCGAGCTGTTTATGTGCACGTTCATGATCTAATTTTGCCTCCAAAATGGCTATTTCCCTTTCACGCAATTGTGAGGCAAAAAGAAAAAAAAAAGGTTTATTTTTCAAACCTATCATGCTCCATTTCTTTATTACAATATGTTGCACTACTAAGGAATTTTTCCAACTTAAGCATTAAAATGCTTTTGCCGATACCTACATCTCACTCCCCTTTACTAAGAGAAGCCACCATTGTCGAAGAAGCTTAGATGAGGAAGCAAGAAAAAAGAAGGAAATTTTATCTCGAAACAAGCAAGTCTCATACATAGTCTTGTTTATATTAAAAAACCAAGGATCATAAAAAGTTAACAAAAGTAACTTTGGAAGATCAAACCCCTTTTGAGTTGTGCAAACACAACCAAACATGTCATTGCATGTCAAACATTTCTCATAATTAAATTACATGCATTTCATTATTATTTTCTTGAAAGTTTTAGACTAATTGAATTATTATTTTTATTATTAATTTATAATAAACTAGAGAACATTTCTTAGGAATATTTGTTGACTTGTATTGAATTCAGCAAACTATGAATGGTACTTTTAAATATCATTGTGAAACTCTTTTTAGTGATTTTATGTAAGGGCAGGTATCTTAATGTAATGGACAAACTTGCCTTAATGGTGAAGTTTCTAGAATATTGGGGTCTACAAGGATCAAAGATGGACCAAACACATTCATGGAATTAAGTGTGCCCCGTAAATGGGGTACTCACAGTCAAAAATAGATCCAAATCCACTCCTTAAAGAAAAGCAAAAAAGTTGAATTGATGTTATTATATATATCTTTGTCGAGGAGATTATTGTTTGTTATTTTATTGTCATTATACGTCCATCATATTTGTCTTTCAAATATTACTTATCTTAACATAATGCTTATTAGGTTATGAAAAGTTATATATCTCTTAACTATGATAAATCAAAAAAATAATTTCTGCTAACTATTTTATTTTTCTTTTTATACAAAACAAATGCACTTTTACGCTATGATCGTTTTGTAGTAACTTTTTATTACAAAGAGTGGTTAGTCTTTTCACCCAAAAAAAAAAAAAAGAAAGAAAGAAAAAAGAAAAAAAGGAGTGGTTAGTCTTGAAATTTTTATTATCTAAACTTCTAATAATATTGTCACACTTATGAAAATAGTGATATTACCTTAATCTAGATAAGTTACGTATTTAAAATGATTTTTTGGATTAAAAGTATTCTGTTAGAATAAACTATAATCTTGTTTGAGTTAGAATTTTGGGATCATTCACGTTATGACGTGACCAATTCTTTTAGTTATAATTTTTTATATATAAAATTAAATTTTAAAATTTTATCTAGAAAATCATATATATATATATATATATATATATATATATATTTATATTATTTTCTAAATTAAATCTGATAGATGTATATAAGAATAAACAAATTAATTTGCTATCAAATAAAATATGTTTAATACATCACACTCGAATAACTGTAGCAAAATTATCTGTCACATATGGTACATAGTTTTGAAACATCAATAAAATTTAGTTAGAAATTACCAAAGTTTTAAAAATAATTATTGAAAAATAAAGTTATAAAAAATGAATTACACTATCATAAATTATACTAACTCTTATAATCTTTAATAATTTTTATTACCTAATTTTATCTCAAAACCTACTGTGAAATTAAAGTTCTTATTATATACCTCATATTTACAAAGATTTATATTAATATATAATCGTTTAATACTCCATTAATATATCAAATTGATATTATATGAATTTTAAAACATATAAAATATGTTTTAATTTTGATAAAATTTAATATAAATAATTAAGATAATATATAAATTTATCAACTAAATTAATAAAGTTACATTTTACATAAGAATTCGTAATTTATGACAGTATAAGCTGATCCCTTTTTCTAAATTTATTCGTAACAAAAAATTCCTTATTAATTTTAGTATTAAAAGAATAATAATAGGAATACTAATTAATTGATTTTAACCCCAAGATATTTTCAAAAACTATGCAATATTTTTCTATGCAAAAGTAAGTGAATAAATTGACCATAATGATTATTTTCTTCATCCAAGGTGTTAATAAATTTAGATAATTTATATGAAATTTTAAATTTAAGCCTCACTGTCAAATTAAAACACACATGAAAATATAAATGATGGATTCAATTAGATGTCTCACAGAATAGAAGTGTTTTCGTTTTCGATTACTTTTGTTTTTTCATCTAAAAGAAAACAAAGTTGGAATGGGCAATGAATAAGCTTTTGACACTGCTGCATCATCTTCTATTTATTAGCCTTTTGATAAAAAGGTATTGTAAATGAAAAAGCTATTGTATTTGATTAACTAAAAGACTTAACACAAGTCATCTTTTTTAACTTAAAAACCACATGTTTGCATAGAAAAATTAGTTATTAGTTTGCTAGTTAACTATAAATACATTTTTACCCAATAATTTTACTTACACACAGATACAAATACAATTATTAGTATATTAAATTTATGTTAATATATTATTATATATTAAATTTTACTCTCTCTTTTCCTCCAAAACTCATTTGCTGAACAACCATTAGTTTATTGTTTATTTATGGCTAATTTAAAATCTCATTCCAAATAAAAAAATGATGTATCTTCTGTTCAATTCAATAATTCATGAACAACCAATTAACTGCAATTGTATTATTCAATTGATGCAACAAGTGAAGCTTTTTCCACCATAATGGAACACAAGCAAAGTTGTTTATCAGATTTTTGTGGGTACAATAACATTACAATAATTAAAAAATTATTTATGTAGCATTGTTCGAACATTCTGGTTAGACTTAACTCCATCTAGGTACACATTTTTTGATTAATAATTATTTAATAAAATTTTATTATATAAAGACATGTACCATTAATCATAATATTTATTAGAATAATCTAAAAATATGTTTTGATACGTTATATTATAAAAATTATCAAATTAAATTAAAAATATAAAATTGTAAATACAGTTAAAACTGAAATGTCGTATGGACTTTGGATAACTATTTTCATAAAATTTCACAAAAACTCTCAAATTTTCACTTACGCTACGTTTGTTTTAATCGAAATTGAAAGGGTTGGAATAGAGTCTTTAATTTGACTAAAAAAATTGAAAAATGAAATGAACTTTTTTAGTGGGCCCCACGTTAAAACATTTTACTTCCATTTGAGCATGAAATGGAGCGATATTGTTTATTAATTATTAAGAAAATAAAAATAGTATTTTATAAAAAAATAAAATTAATAACTTTATATCAACATAAATATAAATAATAAAAAAAAATCAAATTTTAAAATATTAAAAATTGTTAGATCATTTACTTATTTATTTATATTTTTTTTACTCATTCAATCAAATAAAAAAATAGTTTTTGCTATTTTACATTTCATCTTATTTTTATCATTATTTTTACTCAAATTTCTTATTTACATATTTTTTATTCAATTTTTTTCCATTAAAAAACTAACATAACTTTTGAAGGTAGCTTTCCCAATTATTGTGGCTACGTACCCTACCATTGCCACGATGAGATGTGTGGCGTATTAGTGTTAAGCACGGTTGCTTATAAAGCTTTCACTATCAACAAACAAAATTGTTTTCTTTTACCATTACAAGTTCACAATGGATACTTTTTTTAATTATGCGTATAAAAAATTAATATATGATATTATATATAATATATTAATAATTAATAATTAATATTATATTCTACTAAAAAATACACAAACTTATATAAGAACCAATAAAATAGTTTCCATTAAAGATGACCTATATATGTTGCTAAACATGCAAGAATGATAGTTAAGAGAAAAGGAAAAGACATTAAATTATTGTACAAAAGATTTAGAAAATTCAAACGACAAAAGACTAATTAATGGGAAATGAAAAGGGACAAATTCGTAATAAAATTAATTATTTCTATATTATTCTTCAATACTCTTATGTCATTATTTTAAAAGGAAAATGAATCTTGACGATTAAGGTTTTAACTATTGATACTTTTCATATAAGGGTATAAATGATCCCCTTAAAGCTATAATAAGAATATTGACTAAATTTTGCATTAACATATATTATAATATATATTTTTCCTTTCATCATTTTTAAAGAATTGATTCTAAATTTTTAGAGTGTCTTTCTAGCGTCCAATTTGTACTTTTTGTTCTTGATTCTCGACAATGAATGAGTATATGTTCCTAAACCCTACTTTGAAAGACAATTGGGTGATTGTGAACGTGTTGGTTTGTACTTTAAAAAAAAAAAAACTAGAAATGGGTTTTAAAAATTATAACAATTAAAATAATCCTTTGAAAGATATAAAATATTAAAAAAACTTATGTTAGTGTTTTTCTATAAATTAAAAATAACACCTTCCAAGAAGGAACTAATAAATGTCATTAGTTATTTAATTGACGAGATCAATAGATAAATA